AGGAGAATTCAACCGACGGTATGAATGATTTGCAGAAAGTGCAATTAACGTTACGCAACCGTTGATTTCTTCAACTTCTTTTCACGCCTTGACAAACATTGACACGCACAATTCTCCATTATAGGATCGCTTCGAATCGCGTCCATCCACCGATCCAATTGTTATCCCTTCGATCTCTCGTGCGTTCATTCGACCTCGAATGACCTCGAGAAAGAGAGATAGATAGATAGAGAAAGAGAGAGAGAGAGAGAGAGACTGCTACGCTGCTACACACGCATCGCAACAACGCCTGGCGCTCTCCTACCCAGAACACCACGATCTATCCTTCTTCTCATCCGTGCGCCCGTCGTCTCTCTCTTTATCTCTCGTCTGATTTTTTTCCTCCCTTCCCCTTCCCCCTCCTCCCTCCCCTCTTCCGTGCAGCGTTACATTGTTCGCGAGCCACGGTCGAGAAGGGCAGGTAGAAACCCTCGGGATAACAAAAGGACCAGTCGTGCCTTTGTGTATTTCCATAGAATGCGGCAGACTTTCGTGATTTCTCTCTACCTGGGGCCCAGAGAGCCCAGGCCAGCCCCTATAGCTAACAAAGGGAGCAATGCCTGGCGTCTCGAAATTTTTCCCCCTCCCTCTTGCTCCTTCCACTCGCAATGATCCTCTATCTCTCTCTCTCTCTCTCTTTCTCCCTTTCTCCTCGTCCTGATGCTCCTTACGATGGAAGGAGCCAGGCGCCCGATTAACCGCATTGTTACGTTTTCCCAGAGCCCATTATAGAGCTCGGTTTATGCCACTCCGCTATCTCTCTCTCTCTCGTCCCTCCCTCCTTTTCTCTCCAAGCAACCGACTAACTCACCACGCGCCCGAGGAGAAACGGCCTCCGCTATCTCTCTTTCTCTCTCTTCTCCACGTGAAGAATCGTGGATATGGAAACCGGAATTCCTTCTTTTCGGGAGGAAAACGAGAAACAAAATTCTACTCTCTCTCGCCGCCACTCGCGGCGCGACACAATGTCTTTTTGCAACGGACACCTTTCGGCTTCCTACGGCGAATTCTGATCCTCGTTGAAACGAGAGAGAGAGAGAGAGAGAAAGAAAGAGAAAGAGGGAGTTTATAATTATTTCTCGGGACGAGCGAGAATTAATCGAGCAGAAAAAGTTTCGTGAACAGAAATACGATGTTATATCGTGGCGAAGATTAATAAAAAAAAAATATATATTGAATTTGTAATATAACTATTATATAAATTTATATTCTGACGATTATTGTAAAAAACGACTATCATTCTTAAATATATTTTCTACTTTAAGATATATAATTTTTACATAGTATTTTTATATATGTGAGAAGAGGACAGTGGTATCGTAGTTGAGAAAATTGTAATAACTATTATATAAATTTATATTCTGACGATTATTGTAAAGAACGACTATCATTCTTAAATATATTTTCTACTTTAAGATATATAATTTTTATATAGTATTTTTATATATGTGAGAAGAGGACAGTGGTATCGTAGTTGAGAAAATTGTAATAACTATTATATAAATTTATATTCTGACGATTATTGTAAAGAACGACTATCATTCTTAAATATATTTTCTACTTTAAGATATATAATTTTTATATAGTATTTTTATATATGTGAGAAGAGGACAGTGGTATCGTAGTTGAGAAAATTGTAATAACTATTATATATAATATATAAATTTATATTCTGATGATTATTGTAAAGGAGGAACGACTATCACTCTTAAATATATTTTCTACTTTAAGATATATAATTTTTATATATAGTATTTTTATATATGTGAGAAGAGGACAGTGGTATCGTAGTTGAGAAAATTTGAGAGATTATAGAACTCAGGAATTGAGGAAACGATTTATATCGGATATATATATAATCTGGATTCAGGAACTGCGTTTCAATTAACCACCGTTGGACGTGGAATTACGTTGCATGGTAAACGAAAGCTCTCAAAGCTATTTAATTTCTGCCTGGATTATGCACGAAGAGGCTGGAAAATTCAATATATATTCATCTATGTGAAAAAAAAAAAAAAAAAAAAAAAAAAAGGCTTTGCCACGTCAACGTAATAACTCGATGGTTCGAAAACGAAAGGCGGCTGGCTAATTAAGCGTGTCCGGCTGAACCAGTCCCGGTTTCACCCGACTACTCGACCATCAAACATTTTCTCTGTGTTCCGGTTCAGGGTTGAGCCGATCGAGAGAAGGCTCCGTGTTCCGATCGATTACCATCGTGATTCTATCCACGAGGATTACGGCTACACGCCATTGGAAATTCCGCAACCAGTTTCTATTAATGCGCCACGCTCGGTTAAATGCGATTCGCGAATCTAGAAAAACGAAATCTCTTGAAACGAGATTGAATGACTCGAGTCGAGCCTGTTGAATGTAGTTATATCAGCTACGATATTGTATCATATTTCCTATATATTCTATCATAAAAGAATTCTCTCGTCCTTCAAGTTCAAAATATCAAAACTTTAAAATAAATCTTAAATTTGAAGTTGAACGATTTCAAGAAATAGGCGAAATTATATTAATTAATTATCATATTAATTTTAACCGTTTATTATATTTGTATGAAGTAACGATTCAAGAAATACACGAAATTATATTAATTAATTATCATATTAATTTTAAACCGTTTATCCAATATAATAATTAATTCCAATCTTGAACGAATTCTATACCTCTTTATAATTAATTCTAATACCTTTCCTACCTTCGTACAATTGGTAAAACAATGACTAGATTATTACGGGACGAAAATAAAACAAAGGGGAATGCAAATAGGCTTTTCTGTATCGAATCTGTGTGTGTGTGTGCGTATGTGTGTGTGTGCGTATGTGTGTGTGTATCTCGAGTGAGATCATTCGCACGTCAGACCGATGCGATGGAACGAATTCCAATTAATTACGCGCAATGACGCGCGTCGAATAGCATGGATTGCAAATTAGGCTTACGTTGCGGCGGACATTACGCAACGGCGTCGACATTGCGAGTGAAACCAGTTTGCAAACGTCTAGTGTTTCGATGGTGGTGGATTTGCTAGCGACAACCGCGGATCGTTTGTCCGCAAGATTTACAGGGAATCGAGATTCAATCATCGACGAGTGGTTCCCATCGAGTATCGATATACCGTTATAGAAACGAAGGAGAGGGATCGAAACAGCTGGCGGATCATAAATGATAAAAACGTATGCAAGAGGCTAGACGTTTTCGATTAGATTCGATTCGATTATTTTTCTTCTTCTGAAAGAATTAATAAGAGAATAAAATTATCGCGTTACGGATAAATTATGCAAATTATTTGTATACGTCTTCTCTTTCTCTTGTTCATTAAGTAAGATCGGTTTTAACAAGTGTTTATGCAAATTAATTCTTTTTTTTTTTTTTTGCATAATATACGCAAAAAAGATTTGCATCATTAATTAGATATTATGAAAAATGATTTACGTTACGTTATTTGCATCTTTAAATTTTCTATAAATGGACAAACATCCGCAATCTATTTATGATTTTTCTTCCTTTCGTTTAGTCTATTGTGTACGAGAAATACACGATAATAATATACGTGTGTATATGTACGGCATACGAAATAAGGTTTTCAATCGATAAGAGATTGTTTTCGTTATGTTTTCAAGGAATCAATCAATTACACAACAACCTTCGCGTTATTCAAGAGATTGCTATATCTGTACAGATATATTCACAACGTAGAGAAACGCAATAAATTAGAGAGATTAAAACAAAATTATTTTTCATAAAAAAAAAAAAAAAAAAAAAAAAAAAAAAAAAAAAAAAAAAAAAAAAAAAAAAA